CTCATTAAACTTTATGTAAACTCTTTGTGGCTAATTTTAACTGTGGGCCCGTGATATGTACTCAAAGGCGCCAATCCGACAGCTCAGGGGAGCGACCCACTAAACATATCGGACTATCTAAAACTGAAAACGGCTAATCTGAGGGAACTTGTTCCCGAGTACATATCACCTTATCTTTCACTTTAAATATTAGTTCTTTTTATGGTGACATTTGACTAAAAATAAACATCATTAAATCTGAAACAAAAGTACTGACAAATCTTGACTATGCCAGATAATAAGCATAACTTAATTCAGCAAACAAAATAACTCATCACATAATTCATCTAGTTCACATAATAGCAAATAGTCTAAAATTATCCATTAAAAATCAACCAGACTTCTTTCTTTTATTTGGTTGAACAAACATGTACAGGTGGTAGTGAACTTACCTGTAGAAGCTGAATTCAAATTATTCAAACAAGTGTGGCACCTTGATAACGTCTTCCGGTAAGCCCTTCTCTTATATCTTTAATTAAATGTAATTAAGAAATAAGAATGTGATAGCTATGAAACATGACCATAGTAGTGAAATTTAACTGTCTACTGCATATACTAAAACGCAGGACATAAATTCCCTTACTGCTATGAACATCTTTAACACAAATTATAACTGAATTGACTTAACAACTAGATTTTCTTGACTGTCAGCAGAAACTAAGAGGAAAAGAAATTCCTAATCTGTCTACATTACATGTCCATCATGAGCTAGTTAAAAAAAACACGTTTTTCTTTTAAATGCCTTAACTTTGGGCAGAAGGAACGAAAATACTCATTTACTTGCTACTCAACAAAAATCAGAACCTTTGGGAAAAAGTTAAAGCTAATTTATGGACTGCTCCACCGCAGACCCATTTACTTTGTAAGAGAATTTGAAAATAGAATTCAATTGCAGGAATAAAATAGTGGGAAAATCAATCAACTCACAAGATAACCTATAATTTCTTTTTTTTTATTAAAATGTAAAAACCTTTGTTTTTCACTTAAGATTATTAGAGCTTACCGGTCAACATTACCATAGTAGTGAAATTTAACTGTCTACTGCATATACTAAAACGCAGGACATAAATTCCCTTGCTGCTATGAACATCTTTAACACAAATTATAACTGAATTGACTTAACAACTAGATTCTCTTGACTGTCAGCAGAAACTAAGAGGAAAAGAAATTCCTAATCTGTCTACATTACATGTCCATCATGAGCTAGTTAAAAAAAACACGTTTTTCTTTTAAATGCCTTAACTTTGGGCAGAAGGAACGAAAATACTCATTTACTTGCTACTCAACAAAAATCAGAACCTTTGGGAAAAAGTTAAAGCTAATTTATGGACTGCTCCACCGCAGACCCATTTACTTTGTAAGAGAATTTGAAAATAGAATTCAATTGCAGGAATAAAATAGTGGGAAAATCAATCAACTCACAAGATAACCTATAATTTCTTTTTTTTTTATTAAAATGTAAAAACCTTTGTTTTTCACTTAAGATTATTAGAGCTTACCGGTCAACATTACCTGCCACAAACAAAACATGTTAAATAATATATCACATTATTCATAGAATAACTTATTTAGCCGACTAAAATAAATAATAATGATTAATATAACTAGCTCATAAAAGTCGGGGTGTTACAAGGTGGTTCTCGATCGGTAGTATTTTTTGCTCAATTGTTTTGAGCATATTCCTCATGAAGTGTAGATCATCCCCACCAAATAAGTTTTGGATGATAACTACGTTTTATATGTAAATTTTGGCGCAGTTATCTTCCAAGAATCATTTGACTGCCTTTCCGGTCAAATTTTTTGCTCAAATTTGGTGGAGATAATCTACACTTTATGAGGAACATGCTCAAAACATTTAGAAAAAAATCGTAGTGTATTGATTAAACACAATATATATAATAAATAAAGTTAAAGAGCCTAGTTTAACAACTTTCCAATGCAGCTCCTAGGGTGTCTCACTTATCTTTTTGCAGACGATAGTTACTTATTCGTCAGAGCTAGGGACACAGAGTGCAGAGCAGTAAAAGGTATTCTTCAGCACTACGAGGTTAGCTCAGGTCAGAAGGTCAATTTTCAGAAGTCTGCTATGATGTTTAGTCCGAATATAGGAGAGGAAACTCAAAATTTTATTCGGAATGAATTGGTGGTCAGTGGGGAAGGAGCTAAGGCTAATTAGTTGGGGTTACCTTCTCTCATAGGGCGAAATAAAAAGGATATTTTGGCGTACCTTAAAGACCGCATTATAAAGCGATTGCGAGATTGGAATAATCGTTTCCTTTCTAGAGTAGGGCGAGAGATTATGCTGAAGACGGTTATCCAGGCTATGCCTACTTATGCTATGAATGTGTTCCTTCTTCCAAAAGAGCTATGTTCGGAAATTGAGATCTTGATGAATGAATATTGGTGGAGAGGCTCTCATCAAGTTCGGAAGGGTATATGATGGAAATCTTGGCAATCCTTATGTATCCCTAAACACCAAGGGGGGTGGGTTTTCGCTCAGTCAGAGAATTCAATATCGCTATGCTAAGCAAGTAGGCTTGGAGACTTCTAAAAAATCCGGACTCGTTAGTGGGAAAATTATTCAAAGGCTAAATATTTTCCCAATACATCGTTCTTACAGGCTACTCTGGGGAACAACCCATATTTTATCTGGAGCAGCATTTTTCAGGCCCAGGAGCTGCTAGAACGTGGTACCCCCGACGGAAGGTGGAAAATAGCCAAACCATATCTGTTTGGAGGGAGAGATGGCTCCCAGGAGGAGGTTCTGGTCAGATTAATTCTTCACCACCGGCAGGGATTGTGGATATGAATGTGGCGGCGCTGATGAATGAAGCTGGTGCGGGTGGAATTTGCAGAGGATTGAGTCTGTTTTTTTATGGAGGAGAGAATGGCTATTCTTTCCATTCCCATTTCTAGCCGACATGTGCACGATAGTATTTGGTGGAATGAAGATACTAGAGGGGTGTATATGGTGAAAAGTGGATATAGGTTACTCCGTGGAGAGTTTTCCTCACAAGAATGGATAGGGTGGACTAAAATGTGGAACTTCCCCATCCCTCCTAAAATAAAATATTTTTTCTGGCAGTTCATGACAGGAGTCTTACCAACGTCGGCCAATCTCTGGCAACGTCACGTGTCGGTGGACAGGGAATGTAAGCTTTGTGGGGAGGCCGAGGAGACTGAGTGGCACCTTGATAAGTCCGTATTTAGACACGCATTTGATGTGTGTAGGGATTGGATTTTGATGGTTTTCTCAGCTTTAAGGTGTTGCAAGTCTCAATTTTAGCTCAAGTTATGTTTACCGGGCGTTGGTTCGAGTTTTGTGTTGTTTGTAGTCAAAATCAGGGAATTTGAGCCCGGTACTGGCACTTGAGGAACAATCGGGATGATTTGAGAAGCATTTGATAATGATTTGATAGCTTTGGAGGTCACCGGAAGATTCACGATGAAGATTTGAAGGAAAAAGAGCTCTAGGATTGGCTACGGGGTCAAAAGAAGATGAATGAAGCTTGAAAACGACGATCAGGATGACCTTATGTCAATCGTTCAAGCATATCTCTTTTTAGAAACATCTAATGTACACGATTCGAGTTCCATATGAAAGCTAACTTCAAGGGCTACAAATCATATGAAGACACCTTTGCGAGAATCTGAGAGGACGAAGGTGAAAGCAGACGATGAAGTCAGATGATCTATGCTGCGATTTCAGAAAGACACCTCCCACCGTTTTGATCATATCTCTTGATTAGATGATTCCAATCACATTCGGCAACTTGTGGTGGATAGAGGACTTCATTATCTACAACTTTCATGAAGGAAGCATTGCCAAATTCGGAAGTTAAGTAGGCATGATCGTGCCCTCAAAGTCAGGCACGATCGTGCGTGAAGAGAAAGAACCGCGAAGTTACTGCCAGCCAGGCACGATCGTGCCTTCGATCGTGCCTCCGGAGCAAAAACGCGCATTTTGGGCAGGCACGATCGAAGGCACGATCGTGCCTTGCTCCGAAAATCCTAATTCAGCTCAAATTTCACCCGATTTTTCTATTTAAACAGCCTGTAAACCCCCGTTTTCAAAAGGGGAGCTTAGAGAGAGTGCCTAGCACGAATTTTAGAGGGCTTTTCAGCCTTGTTCATCAATCTTTTGGGATTCTTTGTAAGTTCCACCTTTTTAATTAATGACAATTAATTCTTTTTATTCCAATTCTATTGATTCTTCAATTATGAACTGTGAGTAGTTTTAATTAGGGATTTGGGATTGATGAAGGGGTTGATCATGATGTATGGCTAGATTCTTGATGGTTTAATTGCATGAATGCCGTTTAATTTGTGTTTGAATAGTTTAATTGATATCTTTTGTAACCTGGAACCGCGGCTAGAATTACAATTGCTTGTAGAATAAATTAAGAGAGATCTAATTTATTCTAGGACACATTCACACACACTTAATCATTCGCTAAGAGATTAGTAGCGCTTAAGGGGGCGTAAGCTCGCTCGTCTTGGCAATAATTTAGGATCTTGTCGCATGAGAGATCAGCCTGGTCCCCTAATTTATTGTACTCTACGCCGCGAGAGCGGTAAGAACTTAGTAGTGATTAGCTAGGCTCAATTAAATTAATTTCATGTAATTAAGCCTGATCAGCCAGAAATCTGGTTACCCCAGAATCAATCTCTGTTCCCTTCGTCATTAATTAGAAAGAACCCCTAGTTTAATCGTTTTATTCGCATTTTTATTTTCCAGCAACCAATCTCGCACGACGCATTTTTATTTATTTCTTTTTAATCGCTGAATTTAGTTAATCTTTGATTCCTTTTTGTCCGTCCCTGTGGAGTCGATACTCGTACTTACACCACTATATTATAATCTTTTTAAGTGCGAGAAACTAGTATAGGCCCCTATGGCTCTCCTAAAACCCTTCATAAGGGATATGGCTATAATGAGAATCTCTTGCTTTCCGCAGCACCAGCTAGTGCACATACACTTTCGTTTACTTGGGCTCGTGAGGTGGTGGGAAATGGCCTGATCTATGCTTATGCTCTTGTCTAAGGAGTCCGCAGACTGCTTTCTCGCGAAATCCATGATGTGAATCTCTCTTTCCGCTCGTGAGCATAATTCGTGCTAGACTAGCTCTACTATAACTATATTAACATCACACCTTTTCTACCACTGTGAACTGTGAAGTGGCCAAGGCGGTCTGGCAGAAGCTTGGTCCTCGCTTCATCAGACAAGGAAACGAGTTGATTGATTGGGTCAAATGTTTTTTTTGATAATTTGCAGGTGAACGATCTTTGTAGCTTTGTGGTGACACTCTGGAGCATTTGGAAGATCAGAAATGACCGCGTTTGGAAGAATAGCTCAGGCGATTGGAGACAGTTGCTGGAGATAGGTGCAGCTGTTTTGCGAGCGTGGAGGGCGACCCAGTTACAGCCAACAAGAGCAGCTAGTACATGGGAGGATAGACCTTGCTGGAAGAAGCCGACTCCGGGTATTGTCAAGGTATAAACGTGGATGCAGCACTTCATCAAGACCAAGGCAATCGTTCAGGTGGAGTCAGACTCCCTCATGGTGGTGACAGGTTTGATGGATCGTGTTGGTGACTCTTATTTTGACAGTGTTTTGGAAGACATAAGACTAATTCTTCTGTAATGAAGCTAGGATTGAAGTCAATCACTGCAGAAGATCCGCGAATGATGCGGCTCATAGTCTAGCTAGGGCGGCTCGTTCTATGTCGGACGGCTTTACTATTTTGTATACTCCTCCTGCTTGTATTTTAAGTCAGTTAGAGAACGATTTGTTGAGTTAATTAATCTGATCAGTTTCCTTTCAAAAAAAAAACTTCCCAATGCAGCTAGATACTTTACATCCAAATTAAATGGTAATGGGTTTTACACTTTTGACCTTGGGTGCTATAACCGTTTCTCATCATAAAAATTGACATTAGAAGTGCAACTTAATTACCATGATGCCATTATGATTAATATTTAATCTTAACCTTTGATTTCATGTATTTAATGGTTAGATTTCATTCTTATTTTTCTTCGGGATTTCATACTTATTTGTCTATACATACATACATATACATACATACATACATACATACATACATACATACATACATACATACATACATACATACATACATACATACATACATACATACATACATACATACATACATACATACATACATACATACATACATACATACATACATACATACATACATACATACATACATACATACATACATACATAGGGAACGGTTCAGGTGAGAACACCCTCTTAGGAGAGGAAAAAAGAACAAGATCGGACCCTCCATTCTCTCAATCGTGCGGCTGGGATGACCAAATTTGTGAATTAAAAAACGTACATGATACAAGGAAAGACCTCATTTCATTAATTAGGAGGGGCATTGATGTCAAATAAATTCAAATATGATTTCACACGTGCCACTATATTCGGAAGTTTTCCTAAGAAATAGGATAAGCATTTCTTATCTCCATAAATATTTCCGATCCATAAAAACTTTTCTTTTTTCAATTTGCATCCTATTATTTACGTTTAATTAATCTACTTTTTATACGAAATCCTTTCTTAATGAAATCACTTTCGTCAATATGCACTTTAACGTTGAGAGAATGCACTTTAATTCAAAATTTCAATTACGATTAATTAATTTCATGTTCCCATGTATAATTTGTATCGTTCACTTTAGTTTTATGCACTAATAGACTAGTGCACTGGTGTTTAATTTACTTTATGCTATTCTATTAAAATATAATATATTTACAATTGTGCACCACAGGAATTTTAAAGTGCAATGATGAACATGTTATTCGCATAGGACTATGTTCCCTTTGCACCTTCATGAAATGCAATGTGATGAGCATATAAGTGCATCAAGTAATATATCATACATTTTTGTAAATAATTTTTTTTGTCTCATGAACATGCACTTTTTCTCTCATGACATGCACGTGTTATTCCATTAAAATGCATTTATATGCAAATGTTTATGTAGCAATTAATCTCATATATTTGTGCATGACTATCATAAAACATGAAAGAAGCATTCACACAAATACACAAGCTAAAAAATAGTAAACTAAAAATGAGAAGATGGACCTTACGTGTTTAAACATGTGTAATAAAAGGTTGTTAAAAGTGCACAATATTTAATAGAAAATGAAATGCACTCATAGTACTTTATATTGCTATTAATTAATGGATTATAAGAATTATAATACGTAAAAAAGTAGAAAGAAAGAAATAAAACAAAAGAATAATAATTTAAAAGGATAAATCCTACCTAATGGATAAGAACAGAGAATTAAATGCATCACTAAAATAGGAAGAAGTAATACGGATGCAATGAGTGAGTAAAATAAGGAAACATAGTAAAATGTCATATTAGTCCAAAGAGTGTTTCCGTGATTCTTCCTAAAACTAGATTAATCTAACGATTGTTATTTATTCTTTTTCCCTCTCCTAAGATTAAGTTCTCACATGAACCTAAATCTATATATATATATATATATATATATATATATATATATATATATATGTAGACAAATCTTCATGTCCAGCCGGCCTGACGGGAACTGCCGTCCGGCCGAGGGCATTTCGAGCACTTCCCGGTGGAATTTTTTGATGAAATTTTTTTAGCATGTTCATTATCAAGTCTAGTTTATCCATACCAAATTTCAGCTAAAAATTCAATCGGGAAGACAATAAAATGTTTGTGTTTGTGTGTGTATATATATATATATATATATATATATAGGGGATGGTTCAAATAAAAAGTGGTCTTCCCGTGCAAAGTGTGAAATTTGCACTTTTTCATGTTTCGCTTGCACGCTTTCTTGTTTTTGTTGCACTTTTTCGCGGTAGCAAAAAAATTGGGTTATTTGCAAAACTGTCATCGTCATTTTGGCCGAATTTGGACAAAATCAAAATGGTGAAAAAGTGCAACTGAAACAAGCAAAAGTGCAAGCGAAACATGCAAAAGTGCAAATTTCACACTTTGCACGGGAAGAACACTTTTTATTTGATATCTTCCCACACACACACATATATGGAATTCCTAGAGTTTTAATGTAATGCGTCAATTTTTATTCTCTAAATGTCTTTATCATTTGAAGAAACTATAATCAAGAGTAATTCCTTTACAAAGTACTAGTTCATTTTGAGTATTATATTATACAGTAATAGATATGAATTTTGTGTGTGAATGTTTTTTAATTTTCAATTACACTTAGCCACATTTCTCACGCGAAGGTATTTTCAATCTATTTTTCCATGCGAAGGTACTTTTTATTTGAACAAAAAGCTATACACACATGTGTCCACAACTCCACACACATATTATACATACTCATTTATAACGGGATCTATCTTTGTATAATAAGTTAACTATATTTCGTCTAGCGATTAGGCATAATGAATATTTGAGAATTAATAGAAGTCTGCTTTTCAAAATTCAAAACTTTTTCGATTCATTATTGGAAATAACAGTACTTATTTTGCTAATATATGATAATAACAATAACAATTGAGTTTGAAAATGGAATACATAATAACACACATTGACACAACAAAATTTAGAAAAGAAAAGAGAAAAATGTAAACATCTAAGATGACATTATTTAGATATCATTGAATGTAGTTTCCCATGCATCAACATTCAACAGAAGAGCTAAGAAAGACCGTTGTAAGTAATATAGATCTGATGACAGCAACACATAAAATAGCCATGGAATGGAAGAGCTTTAATTGTTAAAGCCGCTAGGTCCAGCTTGAGTCGGATCATTTTGGTTGTTGTTTCTATTCATCATGTTCATATGCTGAGCCCAACCCTCATAATTCCACCCTACCAGAGAAGGCGGCGGATCCACAATATTATTGTTCATTGGAAAAATGGGATTTGGGATGACAATATTGTTCATCATGTTTTCGGGAACTTGACGATAGTTGACCGTGCCTGCCGCTGCCTCTGCCAAATCAGCCCCAACAACTGATGTTGAGGTACTAGCACCGTCCATGTTATTACTCTTTAAAGTCTCAATCCGATTATTGATCTCCGCCAAATGTAAGTTAATGACCCAACCCAAGTCATTCAAATCGGCGACATCCAACGACCTATCAATCTGCTCCCCGGCGAGGATTTTGTACATGAGCGTCGTCATCTCCTTCTCCCGATTCTCCTTCTTCAGCCTGAGAATAGTAGTGTTGAGCTTTTGAATCCTCTCATGGACAAAACTCTCTTGGTTCGTCATCCTTCTGGTTCGCTCTATATCAGGAAGGCTCCTGAACATAGTCACCGTGTGTTGCACGCCTTCTGCCGATGGCCACACTACTGGCTCCGGTTCCAAGGAGCTGTACATGATAGTGCATGCCTCTACGCTGCACAAGATTGTGAGCTCTTCAAGCTTCTTCAACAATCCCTTCTTTCTCTTTTTATACGAAGCTTTCCTTTGGGATTCATTGGTGATATAGGTCAACCTAATTTTTCTTCTTGCCATGGTAGTGTGAAGATATTGAATTAGGTTTTGATGATTCTATATTGTACATAGAGATAAGACTCTATTTATATAGATAATGTAATAGGAATGACAAAAGTTGGTAACATTTTGTGTCAAAGTAGGAGCAATTAAAATTTGGTTACTAGGTTGTTGTCATTGAATTGATAGATTATTATTAGTACTAATATTGATATGCATGCATGTTGTCATTAATTGATTACTATTATAGCATTCCCCGTTCGGAAAGGTTGTCGTTAAATCAAGGTAAGGATACTACAACCTTCAAACCTTGACCACTTGAGTGTCGTTAATTTATACGACAAAGCTAATTAATAAGTGTCGCAAGTTCTTAATTCGATCCACGATTAGAATGCTAAAAATATAAAGATTTTAACTTCAGTTATAAAAGTGTATATACTTTAACTTTATATATATATATATATATATATATATATTTAGAGAGAGAGAGAGAGTAATCTTCTGGTCAGGAAATTCCTGACCGGAGCGCCGTCCTGCCTCCTCCGTTTGGGGGGAGTTAACTTGAAAAAATCATTTCACGACCTTCCCAATTGCATTTTTGGCTGAAATTTGGTATGGATGAACTAGACGAAATGAGGAACATACACAAAAAATGTTAGCAGAAAATACCACCGGGAAGGGTCCCAAATGGAGGAGATCGGACGGCCCTCCTGTCCGGAAATTCAGGTCCGAACATTCCCCGTCCGAGCACCGTCCGAACATGGACGTTTGGGCCACTTCCTGGTGGAAGTTTTTGATGAAATTTTTTGAGCATGTTCCTCATCAAGTATAGTTTGTCCATACCAAATTTCAGCTCAAATTCGATCGGGAAGGCATTCAAATCATTTTTTGAAATTGACTGCGTCAAAATATACATATTAAAACGCAGTCAACTTCAAAAAATGATTTGAATGCCTTCCCGATCGAATTTTGAGCTGCAATTTAGTATGGACAAACTAGACTTAATAAGGAACCTCCTCAAAAATATTCATCAAAAAATTCCACCGGGAAGGACCCCAAACGAGGATGTTCGGACGGAGGGTCATGTCCGAACGTTCGGACTTGATCATTTCTGTATATATATATATAGGGAGTGGTTCTAATGAGAACACTCCTAATTGTAAGAAGTGAGAACAAATCTGAACCATACATCTTAGTAAATCAAAGCCATAAGAGCATGAGGTGCAGAGATATATGGTGGAAGTACAAACATTTTAAAAAAGCCCTTGCTCTCTCTAATCCAAAC